TAAAAAAAATCCTGTCCATTGAACTTAAAAAAAATCCACTTGTCACTCATCCAAGATACTATTGATGAGAATTGAAGGGGAGGGGTAATAAAATGGATTTGAATCCGAATGTATGAACTTTGTGTTTTCTTTAAATGCCCTTCCCTACATATTTTGTTACTATGTGGAAGTCATACCCTTAAACAACAATTTTTTTCCAGTAATATCATATAGAAGCACTTAGTGGCCAGGCAAATATAATAAATAACATATTCAAAAATTCTCAACCGTCTTCCTTTATTATTAAGATTTTGTTTAGTGCTTGTCACACACACACACACACATGTATATGTTGTATAATTTGCTTTACAGGAAATGATCGGATAAAATCGAATCTTTGGATAAAGTCGACCCTGAAGGAGTGACGCACGACATGATGTCACTATTAAAGCTGTGAATAGTAAAAGATGTACAGTAATGATGACGTATGTAATGATGTCAATGTAAATAGTAAAAGTTATAAATAATTTAGGTTGTGTTGAAATTCAAATTTCAAGTTTATAACGAGGTGCAGACCCAGTTTGTTAGGTACCCTTGAATGACCCTCGAATCCCAGACTTCTCCTATTCTCTAGACTATTCTCCTACGTCCATATTCTCCTTTCTTCCTTTTCCACCTAACTCCTTGTCTTGCACCCTCTATATTCTCCCTTGTAATTTTAACTTCTACCCCTAGTCTTTTTCGGGCCAACTACATCTGTGAGTGTTGTTTTGAATCTTGTACTACTTTGCCTTTATAAATAAAAGTTCTCTTTGCTTTGCCTTTGTTGCATGATCCTGTCCTTTATGGTATCAGAGCCAGTTATGGCAGTTTAAATATATTTTGTTGATTTATATGCAGATATATTACTAATTCTTGTTGCTTATGTAATTGTGATTTAATTCTGTTAGACTACTATTATTTTGAATTTGTTATATTAATTCTGTTATAATGATTTTCTTTTGCTCCTATGATTTTGCACCCAAGCCGCGTGTGAGATGTTAGGCTGTGTGTCTGAGTGATAGGAGTGAGGCTGTTTGTGTTCCTCGTAAATCGTTGACAGCAAGAATAAGAAATAGGAAGAAAAACACTATAGCAGAAATTATTATAGCAACAGTTAATATAACATCATTGTAGCATAATTAAAAGACGAATTACTGTAGTAACATGGAGGTAATAGTGAAGCATATAGGTTAACAGAAAACTTTCTGGAGAACAATCATGGCATTAAATTTATTTAAATTTCATAATAAACGTAAAGATGATTCACTTATTTCATCAGTTATATTAATATTACAGGAATCACCCTTAGAAAATGAAGTGATGAATTTGTGAAAGATAATAGATCATGCAACAAGATGTAAAAGACAAATCAAAGAGAACTTTTATTTATAAAGGCAAAGTAGTACAAGATTCAAAACAACACTTACAGATGTAATTGGCTTGGAGAAGACTAGGGATAGAAGTTATAATTACAAGGGAGAATAAAGAGGGTGCAAGACAAGGAGTTAGGTGGAAAAGGAAGAAAGGAGAATATGGACATAGGAGAGTAGTCTAGAGAATGGGAGAAGTCTGGGATTTGAGGGTCATTCAAGGGTACCCAGCAGACTGGGTCTGCACCTCGTTATATAGAGGCCGGACTTGAAATCTGGATTTCAACACAATCTAAACTATTTACAATTTTTACTATTTACAACTTTAATAATTTACATTGATGTCATTACACACGTTATCATTACTGTACACCTTTTACTATTCACAACTTTAATAGTGACATCATGGGGTGCATCACTCTTTTAGGGTCGGCTTTATCCAAAGATTCGACTTTATTCGATCATTTCCTTTAAGAGAGGTATATCCTTGGGAATCCATAAAGTCATCATTAGAGTGAATAGGAGTTGGTGTTTTCCTATCATCCTCCTCCACTTTATCTTTCCTTTTGCCTTTTATGGCAACTATTGGAGTGTTAACGAGATCCATCTTTTCAGTTTTGCCCATTCTAAAGGTTGACATAACCTAAAGACGTATCTCCTCTATAATTACTACTTTAAGTTGCTCAGTATTTAAATGAGGTTTCTATTTTTTAGTTTGTTATTTAAGAACTTCAGCAAGATTAAATCTAGTGTTTATACTGGCACTGGGAATTATAGCTGTAAAGGTTGAAGTTTTTTCTTCCTTTTTTCCCATGTCTTTAAGACATTCCACTATGACCTGACATTTAGATTCAAGCGGATAATTATTCCCAAAACAAACATGGTATTCTCTAATTAATCTAGGATGTCTGTTTTGATTAAAATCACAAGCCAAGTCCACACCCAAATCCAAGGAACATAGAATTCAAGTGAAAAATTAATAATGGGCTTGGCCGCAATATTATTGTCCTTTAAGGACAGAATCTTATCTTTATACAAGTTGAATAATTTTTTCATTTGTTTAGGATATGTCCTTTCAATAGCATCATGAGTTTCTCACCAATCATAAAACTAATTTGGAATTTTCATATAAGTTTCAGTAAATTAAAAAAATCATGAATGCTTTAAATTTATAGCATTATACAAAAAAGCATTATTTCAACCTTCAACATAATCAAAGTAGTTATACTCCATCTATGGAGGATTCCTTAAAGTTATGGGGATAATTAAGTTAAGATCCCAATCTTTAGAAGATATTACTCTTAATATGAGTGCTTTACTAAATTGAAGATCTTTATGATCAGAATTATAATTAAAAAATCTTTGGAATTTATTAGAGTCAGTCTCAATAAGAATATTTTCATAATATTCTTTGTCTTCATTTCCAGAAAATTAGAAGGCTTGATCTGTCGCATAAATCGATTAGCAATATAATATGGATTCGTCATCCAATTAATATATTCATTATCAAGAGTCAGTATATTGCTATAAGCAAGCAAAGTATGTAACTCTATATAGTTTAACTGTGGTTTGGCTACTAAAGCCTCTATAATAGATTTTTTAGATTGAATGACAGTATAACCATCATTATCTTTATCATCACTTTTATGTGAAGACTCTTCATCACCTTTATGCGATGTTTCTTTAAGAAGTTGATTATTAACAGTTTCAAGCTTTAATGATTCAGTTAAAGGGGGATAATAAACATTGACCTGAGATTTGGCCCTAGATCTTCCTTTGCCGTGGTCTCGGCCACGGTTAATGCTCTAACCCCTATTCATGAGAATCCTGCAAAAATTCCCTAGTTAGAAAATTGGGAAGAAGACTTAATTCTCCTCTAACATATTCAATTTTAAAATCAAAAACAAAAAGAATAGGCCGCCATCTAAAAAAAAGCTGTTTAGAAGCGATATTCTTAACATCTTGTTCAAGAACATTTTTTGGCAGAGCTACAATCAATTCTTAATAAAAATTCTTGATTAGATAAATCGTCTTAAAATTTACTAATACATTTAACAATAGATAATATTTCTTTTTTAATAATAGAATAATTTAATTGAGTAGATCCTCATTTTCCTGAAGTAAACCCAACAAGTAATTCTTTATTAGAATTGTGATCTTTTTGTTTAAGAATGCCTCCATAGCCTTTATTTGAACATCAGTTTCAACAATTTTATACCGTGATGGATTTACTAGTGAAGAACATGGTAAATATTTAGCTTTAAGCTAGCTTTTCTTTACTGCTTCAGTGTGAAGATTTGTCCAAGGGGACGAATTCTTCTTAAGTCTAAAATATAAAATAGTCGTATCCTGGGCAAGATTTTTATAAAATTTTATTCAATAATTTAAACTTTCCAAAAATCGTTGTAATTGCTTCTTATCTTTAATTTCATCAGGGAATTTAGAAGCAAATTCAATACTTTTCTCAATGGGGATTATACTCCCTTGTTCAATATAGTGTCCTACAAATCGAACTTTTAATTGAAATAATTTCATTTTAATGACGGAAAGAACTAAACCATTATTTTTTTACTACCTGAATAAATTTATTTAAATGCTTAAAATGCTGATAAATGGAATCAGAAAAAATTAATATATCGTCAAAATAGACCATACAAAATCCATAATAAGGATAAAATATATCATTCATAATATTCTGAAATTTAGATGGGGCATTTTTAAGTCCAAAAGGCATAACATTCTATTCATAATGTTCAAAAGGTATTGTAAAAATAGTTTTATACCTGTCTTCCTCAGCGATTTGGATCTACCAATACCCTGATTTTAAATCAAACTTAGAAAAGATTTTAGCATTATATAATCGAGATAACAAATCCTTTTTATTAGGAATGAGATATCTAATCCACTGCAATACTTTATTTAAAGGTTTGTAATTAATTACTAGTATATAAAACTCCTCGCTCCTTTTTTGCAACATTATTTATATAAAAGGCTGCACAACTCCAAGGGGAATAACTTTTGTTAAATAACAATTTTTTCATTAATGAATCAATCTCTTTTTTACATAATTCCAAATATTCCTTATTCATTTGTGTCAGCTTGGCCTTAGTAGAAATATCTTTTTCATTAAATTTCTTAATATAAAGAAGGGTGACCACATAGTTTTTCCTATCCCAAAAAGAAGTAGGAATAGTATCACAAACTTCTTTGGTTATTTTATTCTCAATTTTTTTTAGTTTATTTTTAAATTCTTGAGTATTAAGTTTTTCTGAGATACTTAAACCTTTAACATCTTTTAAGAAGTTTAATTGATTCTCTTTATGAATCCAATTTTCTTTTATTGATTTATCATCTTTACTTGTGGTGGAGTTATGAACTCAAATAATACTGGCTGACCCTTTAAGTTTGTCAAAATTCTTTTAGAGTCTATTCTTTTTATTGGTTCAATCATAGATAAGAATGGTGTTCCCAAAATTACTAATTGATTTAAATTTTCAATAAGCATAAAAGTAGAAGAGATATAAATTCCTTGATTACATATATAAATTATATAAGAGAAGGATTAATTTCTACAAAATATTTTGAGAAAACAGTCCGGACATTAAGTACGGCCGTTGGGGTATCATGGGAGGACCCCGGAAGACTGCACCCCACGGCAGAATTGTTGGCAAGTGTCTTGATCGAACAAGCAAAGAGGTGTTGGATCTTTTCTGGTAGTAAAACAACACCAACAATCTTTATTAACGCAACGCTTCTTAAAGCAAAGAGCAAGATTTACATTCTTGCCTTCATCCACTCCCATTTCTGAAACCGCAGCAGCACCACCCACGGTTTCAACATCTTGGCCTTCTCTGGTGGCGCTGCCACTGCCTGCAGCTGCGTGAAAAGCTGAATTTTATTCAGTCGATGGGAAAAATTAGAGAAACAATGCAAAAACTAGGAGGGTTTCGGGCATACTTACATGCATGATTGGTGAAGAGAGCAAGTACTACTATGCTCAAAACAAGCAATTGCCTCAAGTTAGAGGTCGTGACCATAGTTTAGACTTTAGAGAGAGAATTCTGCTACAATATTTTTTTTTTTCATTTCGGCTGTAAGGGTTCTATGTATAAACAAATTTCAATGCATGAATGTGGTCAATATCTCCTTTTGGAAAAGTTACCATTAAAGCTTCTTTTACATACACAGACAAAAACATTGATTATTGTATTTTTTCGTTTTTGATAGATCATTATTGACAATAAACAATTGCGATTTACAAGAGTGCATAGAGAAGAAAAAAAAATAGCCACAGATGGTGACGAGAAGCTCAAAAGAAGACAGAACAAAAACCCTAAATTTGGTCACACAATAAAATAAACTTTACCTTTACAAAGGGTTGATTTTTTGACCTCTAAATAGAAGAAATCTTACAAAAAATAAGGGTGACTAATAAGACTAGGTCCAATTGCTTTAATTGTTGTAATTTTTTTCGTGTGCACCTTAAGCTATACTTTATCAAAGATAACACAAACACAAGTAATTAACCATTGACTTGAATTTCCATTTAATCTCTTATAATCAGAGATTATCTAGTAAACCATTAGTTATTAATTAATACTCTGATTAGGACTATCAAAAATGTAGTCGAATGATTATGCTTGACACATATTATAACCGGTGGAAAGCCTTCAGCTGGTAAATTAATGATTTTGTTGCGAATAAATTAAACAAATAATACTATTTTTATTATTTTTAAAATGCGTTTTTTTGTTTTATGTTTTCACACATTAAGATATGTGTAGAATTAACCTTAAACTTGTATTTTTAGTTTTATTGGGTAAACCAGAAAAGTAGGTATATTATACGACTTGTTTGAATCATTTCTCAAAAAATAGAACTCACTAGTGCATTTGCAAATTTCTGGGACTTGATGGTTCTGTTCTATATGATATAGGAATAGAATATGATTTTCTCTTTTTTTGTTGACCGAAATTCGAAAAGCCAAAGGTCTATGAATATCATAGGGTAATAAAGATCAGATTATGAGAATCAGATTACACCATAAAAATCAGATTACCCCATAAAAATCAGATTACCAATATAAACTACGGATCTTTAGCACTAATGAAAATCTTACCAGTTCCTCTGACTTGAAAAATAAATTGTATTTATTAGGAAAATTTTTGAAAAAATATAAATTTGATGGTGTGAAAAATAGGGTATGAGAAGGTTTGAGTGTTGAATTGTAAGATGAGTAAAAAATATGAGAGTTAACAATCATGGAACGAGTAAGAAGACAAAATTATGAGCAAGTTGAATAACAAGGCTAATTCACTGTCAATGGAGTCTCTTGCTCCTATGTATTTTTGATGATACATGAAAAGAATTTTAACTAAGTACGAGCCCGGAAAGTGAGGTCAGACAAGGAGGTCAATTAAGGAGCCTAGAGTTCAGAGGCCCAGGTCTCGAGCTCCTCTCGGATGAAAGAGCAGAAGAGATGAGAAGAGAACAACTGGCTAATAAGAGGCATCCACAAAACAGTAAGAGGACAGTAATTGTGGCGTGAAACTCTCAACCACTCAAGATCTTCTCTCAAAATCAAGGAAAATCCTGCGGATGAAGGGTTAGGATCTCACTGAAGATCCCTTAGAAACAAGAACCGGACTATAAATATTGAACATGGCCTCCAACAAAAGGGGGACGAAGAAAAATATATATAAAACACTCTGTAATTTATTACGGTAGTGAATACAGACTCAAGGAGCAAGAGACTCCATTCAAGTGTGGACTAGTCGAGCACCCGAGCTCGGTGCACCACTATACTTTTGATGATACCCAGAATAAATTCTAAGTTTGAACTCAGGCACGGAGGTTAGTCATGGAGGTCAAGCAAGCACCCAGAGCTCAAGGGACCAGACCTCGAGCTCCCTTCGAAGGAAACAATAAATGACGAGAGAGGGAGATAGCTGGCCAACAAAGAACCCTTAAAATAGCAGAAAGCTGCTATCAAGGTGCAAAACTCTCAATTAGATGAAGTTCCTCACCTAGAATCAAAGACAATCCCTCGAATGAAGGGCAAGGATCTTGGTGCAGATCCCTTAGGAATAGGAATTAGACTATAAATACAGAACAGTGCCTTCATTGAAGGGAGAGCAACCCTAATTGTATTGGAACACTACTGAAATTCGTTAAGGCGATCAATACAGATCCAAGGAGCAAGAGCCTCTATTAAATAGTGGATTAGCCGAGCTCTCAAGCGGGTGAACCACTATAATTTCATTGCGTAAATTAGCCCAATTCCTTAAGAATTTTTCCACAATATTCACGAGCCTTGTAGCTCAGTTTAACACTGATTTCCATGGTTCATACGTTTTGCTCATTCACCTAAAAGAGTACAGGAGCTAATCAAGAAATTTGTGCAAGTCAAGATCAGACACGTCCCTAGGTTAGAGAATTCACGAGCAGACGCGCGAGCAAGGTTAGCAACTGCTTCTCAGGAGAACTTGGAAGGTTGATTCCAGTGGAGCACTTAGCAGAACCATCAGTAGGAATTTAGGAAGAAGTGTTCCCGGTCCTGAACTTACCAGGTTGGATGGACCCCATCAGGAACTACCTGCAGAATGGAACTCTTCCAACAGACCCTAATGAGGCAGCAAAGCTAAGGGTGAAGTTAGCTAGATTCTCCATCTTGCAGGGAGGTCTGTACAAATGAGGTTTTTCAACACCTCTCCTCAAATGTGTGGGAGATGAGGACGTTAACTATATACTAAGAGAAGTTCATGCAGGAGTATGAGGCAACCATATCGAAGCCCGGGCTCTGGTAGAAAATATTTTGAGACAAGGATGCTACTGGCCCACTATGCTCAAAGATGCCACAGACATGGTTAGGAAATGTAGGGTTTGCTAGTTGCATGCCAACATCTCTTATTGCCCATCAGAGCTCCTAACAACAGTACTAAGCCCTTGGCCATTCTAGAAATGGGGCTTAGATATTCTGGGGCCCCTTACAGTAAGTGTGAGTCAGTGCAAGTTCGTCATTGTTGGGGTAGATTACTTCACAAAATGGGCAGAGGTGGAACCATTGGCAACAATCACAGAGCAGAAAGTGCAGAACTTCGCGTGAAAATCCATAATATACAGGTTTCGAATTTCGAGAGCAATCATCTCTAACAATGGAAGACAGTTCTATAACCCAAAATTCAAAAAATTTTGTGTTGAGCTAGGGATAAAAAATTAATTTTTGGCTCCCGTTCATCCTCAGTTCAATGGGCAAACAGAAGTCACCATTCGAACCATAAAGGCAGCCTTGAAGACTAAGCTGGATGCCCTAAAAGGGAAATAGGTGGAGCAGTTCCCCGAGGTATTTTGGGCTTACAGAACCAAAACTAGGATAGCCACACAAGAAACGCTGTTTGCCTTGACTTTCAGAAGAGAGGTTGTGGCGCCTATTGAAGTTAGGCTTCCATCTCCAAGGGCCGAATTTGCAGAAGCAGAACATAACAACAAAATGCTTCTGCTCAACCTCAACCTCTTGGATGAAAAGAGAGACAGAGCCCTGCAGCGTATAAAGAGTTACCAAAGGAAGATAGATAGGTACTATTACAGGAAGGTAAGACACACAAGTTTTAAGGTAGGGGATTTAGTGCTTAGAAAGCTTCTACTCGTGAGAAAGGACCTTACCATGGTAAGCTGGGCCCTAATTGGGAAGGCCCTTATATCATATCAAGGATCGTCAAACCTGGTAACTATGAGTTACAAACCGAGGAAGCGAAGATCTTACCTCATTCGTGGAACGCGGAACATCTTAAAAGATTTTTTTAGTAAGTTCTTTCTGTAATAAGGTTATTTCCAATAAAGTAGCAAGTTTTTGATTCACCCCTGTGTGTTTCCTTGGAATAGCTAAGACGCTAACTATGAGCTCTTCAACTCATAAATAAAAGATGAGCTCTTCAACTCATAAACAAATATGAGTTCTTCAGCTCATAAATAACGATGAGCTCTTGAACTCATAAATAAAAGATGAGCTCTTCAGCTCATAAACAAAGATGAGATCTTTAGTTCATAAATAAGATGAGCTCCTAAACTCATAAATAAAAGATGAGCTCATCAGCTCATAAACAAATATGAACTCTTCAGCTCATAAATAAAATATGAGTTCTTCAGCTCATAAACAAAGATGAGTTCTTCAGCTCATAAATAAAAGACGAGCTCTTCAACTCATTAATAAAAGATGAGCCATTCAGCTCATAAATAAAGATGAGCTCTCCAACTCATTATGATGAGATTTACAGCCCATTAGGGGGGGGGGGTGAGCCCTTCAGCTCATAAACATACCACAGAACAAAGAATTAACCCAACAAAGCCACTGCACATAAGGACTTATGAAAGAACAAACGTTCAATAGCTAGTGAAAACAAATTTCAAAGCAATAAAAAGAAGTACATCTCTAGAAAAGAAATACAGGCTTCTACACTCCCCTAAGTCTCTCCTTCACCTCAGCTATTTCCTCCTCTAGCGAAGCATTGGCATCCCGAAGGCGCGCATTCTCTTCCCTCAGCTCATCTCTGTCATCTCTTCATAAGTTTTTGACCAGCTGAAGAGAATAGAACTGCTCCCAATGAAGATCCTGACAAGGAAGAAGAGGATTCATTGGTGCAGCCACTCCTCTTACGCTTTCGGGAAGATGTACCAGTATCTTCATCCTCGTCCAATTTTGGAGGAGAAGGGTCAGGGGAATCAAGGAAAGAAACAAAATCCATAGCAGTCGCCACAACACTGAACATAAAAAGGTTATCTGATGTCATTAGCTTAAGAAAAAACATAGGCTCAACATGGACCATCTCTTCAACCTTCATCATCTCCACCAGGTCTAGATCAGGTGCACCTGTGTGACAAAATTTCAGTGAGAACAACCCATTATGGGATCTCACCAGTGAAGGAATTCATAACACTTACTTGTGTAACAGTAACTCCCCTAGGAACGAGGAACCCCATATTCTCTACAGTGCAGTTCAGTGGATCTCCAAGAATCCCTAGAGACAAAAAAGAAATGTTG